AGAACAATACTGAGCTGTGATGTGAGTGGAAGTTGCTATGGGAACTGAGGCAGTGCTGGGGGGTGTTCCTGGGGTGGAGGCCAGAGTAGTGCAGGGGGACGTGGTTCCCTCACCAGCTCCGGGTGAGTGGGAGGAGAAGACCTGGGGCTGGGTGGGAAGTGCAAGTGGGTGCAAGAAGCCACCTGCTCCACTGTCTGCCTGGTGTTGTTACAACCCCTGTGTGCCCTTCTCAGCATTTAATGAGCAGCTACACCAGGCTAATGAGCTACTGCTCTTTATTTGTCATGGCCAGTGCCCCGAGCAAGAGCCAAGGTTTTGTTCTGAGCCTGAGCAATGGGTTTATCCTGTGCCAAACCGCCCCAGGAGTGAAAACAGCCATTTGCTGAGAGCAGCTGGGGGGCTGTGGGAGCCCCTGGCTGGGCAGCACCACCCTGCACCCACCCAACCTTGGTGGGAGGACGAGCAGCCCCCAGCTCTGGTGCTGCTGGGTGCCTGCAGTGTGCTCTGAAGGGCTGGGACATCCTGTGCTGCTCCTGGCTGACTCTGCACAGCAGCCGTTGGGGAGCAGCTCAGCCCCGGGGGGCAGTTCCTCCTCCTGGGGTCAGCTCCTGGAGCTGGGTAAATGCAAACCACGGCACCCACCCTCCCTCCCTCTGGCCCCAGCCTGCAGAGATCAAAGCTGGTGACAGTGTGTGGTGTCACAGGCTGGGAGCAGTGTCCGGGACAACCCTCCTCCTCCTGCTGCTGCCTTCATCCAGGGGTAAGCAGCAGCCCTTGGTCATTCCTGGTGGAGCTGGACCAGCTGAGGAGCTGATTTTCCCTCGGGGCAGCCTCCACTTGTCCTCTGGGCTGTGGGAGCTCGTCCTTGTTTCAGCTGCAGCACACGGGGGCTCTGGGGTGCAGCCTGGGGCCCTGCACTGGCCCCCCAGGGGTGCTCATGGCCGAGCCCCGTGCCCAGCCCTGCCTGCACCCCCCTTTCCTTACAGCCCTGGGCCTCCTGCTGCTGCCCAGAGCCTTGCTGCAGGCAGGAGGAGGGTCTGTGTTGGAGGACAAGGGGGGGATGGCTTGAAACTGAAAAGAGGAGATTGAAACTAGAGAGCAGGAAGAAATGTTTGAGGCTGAGGGTGGTGAGCCCCTGTCCCAGGCTGCCCAGAGAGGTGGTCGCTGCCCCATCCCTGGAACCATCCCCGGTGAGGGTGGCCGGGGCTCTGAG